TAATTAACAATAGATTAGTATATTAAAATAATTTAGATCAATTTTTTTATACTACTAATTAAATACACTTAATTTTATAAAAAAACTGACACACTCATTTATTAAGTTTTATTATTTTATTTTTTCAATGGACAGATTTTTAAAAATATAAATAATATTATTATATATTCTAATTTGTAAATTTTTATTTATAATAATTTATTTTATATAAAATAAGAAGTTAAAAAAATTAGTATAAATATTTACATTATTTGAACAAACAAATACACATATAAGGATATATATATATATATATATATATATATATATATATATATCACGGAAAAAAATATTTACGTTAATATAAATATTTATTTAAAAAATTAGCATAATATATATAATAGGTATATTTTAATAAATTTAATGTAAAAAATTGTTAATTTTTTTATTATAATCAAAGTATTTTTTATTATTTTCTATTTTGTTGAATTAAGCTAATAAAAAAATTTAAATATAATAATTTTAATTATAAAATTTAACTTACACTGTATAAAATTTAATTTAATTTTAAATACAAGAAAAAATTATAACTAAATCATGTAAAAAAATATGATTAACAACAGGTTAGTATTTTAAAATAATTTAATTTGAGTTTCTAATACTACTAATTAAATAAACTTAATTTTGTGAAAAAGCTGTCGCACTTATTTATTAAGTTTTGTTATTTTACTTTTTCAGTGGTAATTATTTTTTATTTTGAATAATATTATTGTATATTTTAATTTGTAAATTTTATTTATAATATATATATATATATATATATATATATTAAGGGAAAAAATATTTACATTAATATAAATATTTATTTGATAAGATTAGCATTATATATATATATATAATATGTATATTTTAATAAAGTTGGTGATAAAAATTGTAAATTTTTTATTATAATCAATGTTTTATTTAGTATTTTTTGTGGAAAGTTTGATAAGGTGTCAGCACCTCATGATAAGCTTTTTAAGCACTCTTCTTTATGCTCTTTTATTTTACTTCAAATTTTAAATTATGATAAAATAATAATTATGTCATCATAATGTCATTTATTATTTCTCATTTTCTATACTGATATATTGGAACCCATTCTAATAATTTGAAGAGGAAAGGAAACCTAATGAGCACTAAAAATAAATAAATAAAATCTATTACCAAATAGTCTATTGAAAATTTAAAATTAATTTTTTTTGTCATTTTGCTGCAATAATCTCTTCTATACAAAATAAGATATTAATAAATTTATTATAAAAATTTACAATATTCAAACAAACGAATACACATACAAAGAAATAGCAAGAAGAAAATATTTATATTAATATAAATATTTATTTGATAAATTAACATAATATATATAATATACATATAAAAAGTGTTAATATTTTTATTTTAATCAAAGTTTTATTTATTATTTTTTATGTTGTTGAATTAAACTAATAAAAAAATATTAATAATATTAAATTTATTTATAAATTATAACTTGTTATGTGTTGGATTTTATTAAGTTTAATTTAATTTTAAATACCAAAATAAAAATATAATTAAATCACGTAAAAATTATGATTAACAACATGTTAGTATATTAAAATAATTTAGATCAATTTTTTTTATACTACTAACTAAATACACTTAATTTTTTTTATAATAATTAAAGCATTTTTTATTATCTTCTATTTTGTTAAATTAAGCTAATAAATTTTTTTAAATATATTAAATTTAATTATATATTATATCTTCCACTGTATAAGATTTAATTTAATTTAATTTTTAATACAAGAAAGAAAATCTAACTATTAACAACAGGTTAGTATATTAAAATAATTTGGATTGAGTTTTTAATACTACTAATCAAATAAATTTTATTTTATAATAAAGCTGTCACATTATTTATTAAGTTCTATTATTTTACCTTTTCAATGAACAGATTTTTTAAAATTTGAATAATATTATTATATAATTTAATTTGTAAATATTTATTTATGATAATCTCTTTTATATAAAACAAGAAGATAAAAATTTATTATAAAAATTTACATTGTTCGAACAAATAAATGCACATATGAAAATATATTTATATATATCATGGGAAGGAAATATTTACATTAACATAAACATTTATTTGATAAAATTAGCATAATATATATAATATGTATATTTTAATTAAGTTGGTGACAAAAATTGTTATTTTTTTATTATAATCAAAGTGTTATTTATTATTTTCTATTTTGTTGAATTAAGCTAAAAGAATGATAAATATATTAAATTTAAATATAAATTATAATTTATAATGAGTAAGATTTTATTTAAATTAGTTTAATTTTAAATAGAAGAAAAAAAATCTAATAAATTGTGTAAAAAATATGATTAATGACAGGTTAATATATTAAAATAATTTAAATCAATTTTTTAATATTACTAATTAAATAAACTTAATTTTATGAAAAAATTGACACAATTATTTATTAAGTTCTATTATTTCACGACTTGAAAAATCTTTGTTTGATCGAGGTTGAAAAAAATTATCAAAGCAATGAAAGGTCATTAAGAGACTACACCTCTATGCCAATTGTAGAAGATTTAATTTTCAGATTGGTCAAAAATAAGTTCACAGCAGATGAGCTCAATTACAATACAATTGAACTGGCTGAACAACACAGTAGACTTCTATATTCTTTAACATTGGAACAAAAAATTGTTTACCATGAAATCATGAGGTCAATCTTAATAAATCTGGTAGTTTTTTCTTCTTATATGGATATGGAGGAAGGAAAAACATACATTTGGAACTCTATCAGCAACTCTTCGATCTAAACAACTAATTGTTCTTAATAGATTTTAGGCAAAATTCTGATGATGAATTCATTCAGATCAAAGAAATATTTATACAAGAAATTGCACAAAATACGCCTAACTAATTTACAGCTAATTGCAATATTTATAGCCTAACGTAATATTCTCCGAGATATTAGGAAAGACAAATCAGGATATGCACAAGATATTCTTCACCAGATTTTCTCTGCAATATCTGGTCTAATACCCCCTCAAGGTGGAGCATATGGATTTCGAATGCCTAGCTTGCGAAGAAAGTGGTCAAATTGTCTCTTGCCCAGCGCTTTAGTGAAGATGTCGACAAGTTGAGTGTGAGTGAAGACATAATGAGTAGCAATATTTCCTTGCAAGAGTTCATCACGCACAAAGTGGCAGTCCACCTTAATATGTTTTGTGCGTCATGAAAAACAGGATTGACAGCAATATGCATGGCTACTTGACTATCACAGTAAATGTTCATAGGTAGTGAATGAGACACACCAAGACAAAGCAGCAGAGCTTTGAGCTATTTGAGTTCACAAATTGTGGCAGCCATCGACCTGTACTCAACTTTGGCTGAAAAGCGAGACAATATGTTGTTTCTTGGTTTTCTAAGAGATAGGGGAATTACCAAGAACAACAAACCAGCCACTGAGAGGACGTCGAGTCAGTGGGCATCCAGCCCAATCAAAATCACACCATCCAGAAAGCTGTAGATCACAGTCAGCACGAAGTAAAATGCCTTGACCGAGATTTCCCTTCAAATATTTGACAACTCGAAGAGCAGCATCCCAATGTTCCTGGCCGGGTGTGCAAGTATGTGAACACAGTAAGAAAGGTCTGGTCTTGTGACAGATAGATATAACAAGCATTCGACAAGTCGACGATATTGTTTTGGGTCAGGAAGAAAAGACCCATCAGCCAAGGGAAGGCGATGATTTGGGTCCAAAGGTAAACTTGCAGGTTTAGCTCCCAACAAACCAGCTTCAGAGATAATGTCAAGAGTGTATTTTCATTGACACAAGAAGATTCCAGTAGAATTGCGGGCAACTTCAATACCCAAAAAATACTTCAAGGTACCGAGATCTTTCATGTAGAAGCAGGCCCCCAAGTATTGCTTGAAGGCTAGAATGGCAGCATTGTTATTACCTAAGACTATTAAATCATCGACATAGACTAGGATATTAACTTGTATATGACCACGTCGCAATGTAAATAAGGAGTAATCAGAACTGGATTGGCTGAAACCATATTTCCGTAAAGCAGCAGCTAACTTAGCAAACCAACACCTGGGTGCTTGCTTTAATCCATAAAGTGATTTGCGAAGTCGACATACTTAACTTGAAGTCGAAAGGCGAAAACTCAGGGGTGGCTTCATGTACACTTCTTCTTCAAGATCACTATGCAAGAAGGCATTGTGAACATCCATTTGATAAAGTTCTTAATTTCTCGCAGCTGCAACAACAATAAATGTACACAAAGTAACCATTTTTGCAACAGGTACAAAGGTTTCAGTGTAGTCAAGTCTTTCAACTTGGTTATTTCCCAAAATCACAAGTCGTGCCTTGAATCTTTCAACTGTCCTGTCAGAGTTATGTTTGATTCGGTAGACCCATTTACATCCTATTGCTTTCTTTCTGGGAGGAAGAGTTTCAACAGTCGAAGTACCATTATTTTCCAAAGCTTGTATTTCAGCTTGCATAGCATTCCGCCACCTTCCATCTTTCATAGCCTCGACAACAGTTTGAGGTTCAACACCTGCAATTATTGGTGCCAAAAATTCCTTATATTTGGGTGAAAAAGCACTACAATTCACATAATGAGTAATAGGATAAGGTGCACTTGAGGAGTGTGATGGGAGAGGAGAATTTGAAGAGGGGCTTAATTTGCAGATGGTGTTGGTGACAAAGTCTTGCAACCTTATGGATGGCTTCCTAATTCGGTGGCTGCGTCCCATATGTTCATCTATAGTGACTGCTCCAACGCTCCCCCTATCATTATTAATATCATTATTTCCAATTCCCGAGGATTGAGGTTCACATCCTTCTACAACATCATTACAAGCACTATCATCAATCATTTCTTTCGTGTTCGATGAGGAATTGTGAACAACCTGATTAGAGTTTTTGCATAATTCCTTTCCTCGTCTTCGAAAACTTCCTTCAAAGTCGAATTAGGAGGAACATCATTGTGCAAAGGTGCACTTTGCTGGTCAACAGAACCAAGACACGGAAACTGGTCTTCGCAACATCTTGTGAAATCAAGAACATATTTGCTTCAGTATCATAGACTCTCCAACCTTTCTTACCATAAGGATACCCCATGAAAACACATTTTCTACTACGACTAGCGAATTTGTCTCCTTTATGGTTTTGATTGTGCACATAGCACAGACAGCCAAACACACGCAAGTGATCAAGTGAAGGAGATTTACTATGCAATATTTCATACGGCGTCTTCCCTTGTAGTAACATTGAGGGGGTTCGATTAATCAAATACCGAGCAGTGAGATGCATTCTCCTCAAAATTCAATGGGAAGGTTAGCTTGAAATCGCAATGCGCATGCTACATTGAGAATATGCTTGTGCTTACGTTCAACAAGTCCATTTTTTTGTGGTGTTCCTGTGCAAGAGGTCTTATGAATGCTTTCATGTTCACAAAAATAGTTTCACATACAAGTAAATTCTGTGTCAGTTGTCACTTCGTACAATTTTTACTTGTTCATTGAATTTTCGTTTTACCCTAGCAAAAAATTGTGCAAGTTCATTGAAACCTCTTTCTTATCAATTAACAAATAAATCCACACTGCTCTTGAATGATCATCAACAATGGTCAAAAAATATCGCACCCCACATGTTGCAGTGGTCTTATAAGGTCCCCACAGATCACAATGAATCAACTGGAAATTTCTTATTACTTTACTTTCACTTATAGGGAAACCGTCCCTTGTTTGCTTTGCTCTAAGACAAATATCACAAGTTTCATCACTTGTTTTACCCTTCCCAACATGTGGGGCGAAACCTACAACTTTAAAAGATGGATGTCCTAGCCTCTTGTGCCATAAATTGAGAGAGTTTGTACCCTTTACTTGCACCTCTCTTCTTTCACCCACTCCAATCACCATCCTCAAAGTGTGGTCCTGAATAACACAAAACTCATTAGTGAACCAAATAGGACAGTTGGATTCATCAATCAACTGTGATACTGAAATCAAGTTGCAGTGTAAATTAGGCACATAAAAAACATTTGTCAGTTTTAATGTGTCACATAGCACCATCGTGCCTTCTTTGGTAGTTGTGGTGTGATTCCCATCAGGAAGACCCATTGAACATTCCACTATATCTCGCACATCAAATAGATAATCCAGGCTTCCTGTCATGTGATGAGATGCTCCTGTGTCTATAATTAAATTCATAAATAATTCAGTGGCCCCTATTTTTGCATTATGCAAGAGATGCATCAAAGTTTGCCACTGCTCGCTATTTAGACCACTAATATCAACTTTTTCACCTTCTAAATTAACATCATTCATAATTGTTCCTGAAGTTGAAATCTGTATTGCATTGTGATAAATCCATAGTTTATCAGTATTTTACTTGAATACATTTGATAAAGAAAACATGTTAGAAAAACTGAAAAACTCATAGAAATAATAGAATATTTAAAGTCTTTCTTAAATACATAGTTGTTTAGATTTTATGAATTTTATATGTAAAAAGTAATGATTTAATCATTTTTTTATAGGAAATTCTGAGCTAAGTTCATAAGATTGGAAGATCAAGGGAAAGATAGAAGAAAACTAGCAAAAATTAGAAGCAAAGAACAAGGTCTGATGAAGCAAGAACTGGGCGTGATCACTTTTCTTGGCAAAAGTGATTGTTCCAGAGCTTAACATTGAAGGATGACCTGTGCGTTATCACTATCGCTAATGATAGTGATCATTCCAGAGAGCTCTCAAGCATAGCAAAGCGCGTGTGATCACTTTTCCTAGCAAAAATGATCATTCCGGAGAGAACTCCAACACAGCAAAGGTGCGCGTGGTCACTTTTGTTCACAAAAGTGATTGTTCCAGAGAGTCTTCCATCTCTACAAGTCGCGCATGTCTCCTATTGTTCACTAAAGTGAACATGCGCAGACCACAAGCTTCTGCGTTGCTACTTTTATTAAGAAAAGTGATAGTTCCAGTTATGAAGGTTATCAGAAAGGCCTTTGCATGGTTACTTTAGTGAAAAATAGTGATCACGCCAGAAAGGCGAGAATTCTATAAATATGAATTAGCTCAGATTTGTTGGGATCTTTTGTTCATTTTTACTTTGCAATTGTTTTCTGGTGTTGAGAGAGTCTGAGAGAGAGATTGGGGACAAATACCAAGCTTCCAATCTTGAGGAATCGGATTAAAGATTAGCTTGAAGATGCTTCTTCGTTCATCTTCTTATTCTCTTTCTTTCTCTTTCCATTTTGTAATGGTTGCTTAAACTCTTTGTAGTTAGGGATTATGGATCTGAAATGAAAATGTTGAATTGATTTTAGATCTGAACTTTGAGTATTGGATTGTATTGAGTAATTGATTATGCTTTTCAAGTAGTTGTTGAATGGAAATTTGATTAACTAATTATAGAGGAACTTTATCAATGGAAGTTGAACTTGTTTATCAGATCTGAATCAATTACCAAGATTATTGATTTCTTAGGGATAACACATCTTTATCTTGCAATCTTTTAGTTTCTAATGCTTAATGCAACATTTAATTGAACCAGATCTAAGGAATTAGAATGATTGAATTGAATGTTAGATTCATTGAGTTAAGAAATTAACCTTTGATTAATATATTGTGAAACTGATTGTCATTCCATCTAAATACTTGAAAGTTCATAACTTTATTGAATCAATACTGAAGTTTTGGTGAAACAAGTCCCTAACTATGTTTTCTACATCTGTTAAACATATATTTGCATGTTCATTGTTCTGTTCTATCTTCTGCATTTAATAATTCTTGTTTTTACTTCCAAACTTCATCTGAAATTTGTTAGGCTCAACTAATTGTGAACTTGTGAAGTGATAATTGGAAATCTATTCCCTGAGGACGATATTTGGGTCTCAAACACAGTTCCAACATTTTTTATAACTTGCTGCAATAACACTAGTACACTTGCTAGTCAAATTTACTTCTGTTAAAAAGGTGACTGATGAACGAACTTTCTCATGTTGTGTTTAAAAAGATTTGTCGCAAATCCTCATCAAAATTTAAACAAATTAATATAGTACTAGGGTTACCCTAGATTGTCTCCCATGAACATTGGTTATTAATCTTCACTAAACATGTTGAAGGCACTAATTGAACAAGCAATTAAAATAGGGGGTTTTGTGGTTTCAAATTAATATAAAGAGCAACAAGCAAACAAGTTTAATTAATTCAAATAATAGAAAACAACAATCCTTAGTTCATCCACAAAGATTCTATCCTCATTCCACTCAAGATTTAACATTCATCCTCTCTCCCATGAATTAGGTTAATTTAACAACCGAAAATCAACCTTATGGTGTTAACGAAATTACGCAATTTGCTAGGCTCTAATCCCTCATCCCAAAGTTACGCAACCTTAGAATTAAACCTAAGATTAAGCGATCCCTAGTTTAGAATCTCCTTAAAATGAATTAGGGTTAATTAAGCAATATCCCTCTCATTCGCCATTAATTCAATTCAAGAGACTAGGAAGAAGTAATTCTTGAGAAGAAAGGAATTATATTATCATTAAAATCAAGGAACTCAAGAATCCATGTGAACTCACTAAGGATTACACAAAATTAGTCCTCCATGGAAATGGGGGTCAAAAACACAGTTGGGAAATGCAGAAAACTCATTGGCATTAATGTAAAAGCAAGAGAAATGAGAAACCAAACCCTAGGTTGGACCCTTGGCTGTCACCCAAGGTTGCCCTAAGCTCTGGAAAATGTTCTAAATTTAGTAAAGAAGAGAAAATGTACAAAAAGTATAAGAACTCTCTACCCTAATTTGACAAAAATCTATTTATACTAAAGTTGGCGCCCTCCAAAGTAATTACTTTCATTCTTTCGTAGTAAACACGCACAACATCAGTTGGATTTTGCCTTTCTGTAGTGTCTACTATTAACTTTGATAGTAACCATGCGCAGCACTGGGACATTTTGGACTCTCTAGAGTTGTCACTATGAACTTTGATAGTAACTACGTGCAGCACCTTCAATTTTGCATGTTCTGGAGTGATTACTATGAACTTTCATAGTAACCACGCGTAGACTTAGTGGATTCTGGGCTGCTGTAGTTGTCACTTTTAACTTTAAAAGTGATCACTTTGGTCCCTTTGCTGAAAGTAGCTTGCTGTAGTTGTCACTATCAATCTTGAAAGTAGTTACTTTCACCTCAAATTCCTCAAAATTCAATAATTCTTCAAAATAAGCTTGGGGATTCTTGCCACATTATTCAAATGATCAAAACATGTAAAATAAACTATCTAAATCAATGTAAATTAACCAAAAACTAAGAGTTCTATATTATTTAGTCTAATTGGAATATTTATCTTATTTACACTATCTAAGTCTATTCTTTTCTATAAAAAGTAATAAATGATATATAAAAATTTAGTAAAATTTAGTAAAATGTACAGATCCTCCACGTCCTCTACTTGAGTTTGATCCTTGCTGTACTCCTTTCATACATGCAGTTCCTCAGCCAGTCCCACGAGGGCGATCACCGCACCAATCTGGATAATCAACCAATTGAAAGCAACTATCTGAGTCATGTCCTGACGGCCATAATGACTACACACCATAGCTTTGTCCTTCCCATCAATTTTATTACGAGATTTAGAGACTGCTTGAATAGCAAAACTCATCACCTCACCTCGTTCTTCCTTGGTTTGGACATTGTTCTGACACGTTCTTCTTATACTAACGTAGAATACACTTTGTTTAGATTAGGCAGTGGATCTTAAGCAAGTAAATTTGATCTTACAATGCCATACGCAACTTCATCAAGTCCCATGAGAAATTGATGGACCTTTTCCTCCTCACGCTTCTTTGCTAGTGTTCCTCCAAGATTGCAAATGCATTTCCCACACTTGCATTCTGGTATTTGATCATAGTTTCCAAGTTCTTCCCACAGCCTTTTCAGCCTTCCAAAGTATGTCACAATAGCAAGCCCTTTTTGCTTGCATTCAATGAGTTCAACTTTCAACTGCTGTATTCGAGGTCCGTTAGGCACTGAAAATCGCTCTTTGATATCCTCCCACAAATCTCGTGCCACCTCCATGTGGGATATGGTTGAACGTAGTGCTGGTTCTATGGTGTTCATTATCCAAGAGACTAACAAGGAGTTGTTGGTCCACCAGTCCTCAAGATCAGGCGATTCTTCCTCGGGTTGTTTAATTGTTCCATCCATGAATCTGAACTTCTTTTGTGCTCGCAATGCAGTTCAAAGGGAGCAAGCCCATTCATCGTAGTTTTCCCCTTTCAGTTGGACTTGTGTCAATAGGCTTCCACAATTATCGTTAGGTGTGATGTCGTAGGGAGAGATTGTCCTTCTTATCCTGTTCCGTCAGAGTTATTCTTTGTTTTGTCCTCTCTATTTTTGCCTTTGTCTTCTTTTTCTCTGTCATCAACTTTTCTTTCATCAGCCATGGCAGTGGTTTAGGGCTTTGATACCATAACAAATTTTGGCAAAATTCTGATGATGAATTTATTCAGATCAAAGAAATATTTATACAAGAAATTGCACAAAATACGCCTAACTAATTTACAGCTAATTGCAATATTTACAGCCTAACGTAATATTCTCTAAGATATTAGGAAAGACAAATCAGGATATGCACGAGATATTCTTCACCAGATTTTCTCCGCAATATCTGGTCTAATAGTTCTCAATGTGGCTTCAAGTGGTATTGCTTTTTTACTTCTTCCTAGATGAAGGACAATTCATTCCATATTTTGAATTCCATTAATGATTGATAATACATCCACATGTAACATCAAGCAAGGAAGTTTGAAAGTTGATATATTAATCAATACAAGTCTTATCATATGGGATAAAGCCTCATGCTTAATAAATTTTGTTTTGAAGCTCTAGATTGTACGTTAAGAGATTTAGTGAGAGTGAAAAATTTAAATAGTATGAATGAACCTTTCAACGAAAAAGTTGTTGTATTGGGAGGAGATTTCGAACAAATACTTCCAGTCATTCCAAAAGGTAGTAGTGAAAATGTTCTTTCTGCAACTGTGAACTCTTTTTATCTATATGCTCATTGTAAAGTGCTCAAGTTGACAAAAAATATGAGATTATCGGCATCAATAGAAAACACTTCTGCTATAATTGAAACTAAGTTTTTTATAGATTGGATTTTTCAAATAGGTGATGGGCAAATGGGAGTTAACCATGATGAAGATTGTACATTTGAAATTCCAGAAGAGTTTCTCATTCTTCAAAAGGATAATAGTCTTATGCATTTAGTAGAATTGCATATCCAAGTTTAGTCCATAATTGTGCTGATTTGATTTTAAATTCTTTGAACAAAGAGCAATATTAGTGCCTACTTTAGAAAATGTTGAGAAAGTAAATGAATTAATTCCCTCTTTGATGCCCAGAAAAGAAAGAGAATATTTAAATTTTGATTCAACTTGCTCATCTGATGAAAATTCTGAAACAGAAGGTGAGTGATTTACTATTGAATTTTTGAATGAAGTTAAGTGTTTAGGATTTCCAAACCACAAATTAATTTTGAAGATAGGTGTTCCAATTATGCTTTTGAGGATTATAGATCAAGCAAATGGATTATGCAATGGAACTAGATTGATTGTTAATCAATTGGGAAGAAACATAATTGCAGCCATTGTTGTTACAGGAAGAAATATGGGTGATAAAGTATTCATCCCAAGAATAAATTTAGTTCCTTCATATTCCCAGTTACCTTTTAGGTTTCAAAGAAGACAATTTCCGTTAGCTCTTTGTTTTGCAATGACTATTAATAAGATTCAATGACAAATACTTTCTAATATCGGTCTTTACTTACCAAGGCCAGTGTTCTCTCATGGTCAATTATATGTTGCTATCTCAAGAGTGAGAAAGAAAGATGAATTGAAAATATTGATTTTAGATGAAGATGAGAAGTCACCCGATTTACATCAAATGTAGTATTCAAAGAAGTTTTTGACAAGATATAAAAAGATAGTTAAATATTACTTCATGTTATTTAGATTTTGTTTACTATATTTCTTATATATTTTGTTGTTATAATGTGAAAATGATTACTGGACGGAATACAATTTTCACACAAGAATTAATAGGAATATATTGATTAAGGAGTCATATATTGAAGTTATGTATGTGTTATCCAACTTATATTTATTAAAATAGTTAGAAATAGTGAGTATATTTACCTTATTTAATTATTTTTCACATAAAAAATAAGGAAACAACAAAGTTTACCTTAATAATTAAAATAATTTTTATACTAACTAACTGTCAATTGTAAAAATAAAAGTTAAGAAGAATTTAACCACCACATATGTGTCTAATATCAAATTTATTTTATTTATTTATATTAATTGATATATTTATATTATTAAATTAATTTCTTTGTCGAAGAGTGAAAAAATAATTACATTTATATTAATAATGATAAATAACAGATAATTATTTATGTATATTTGATCTGTTATATGCTTATATGACAAATATATGTTTTATTAATATATATTTTATGTCAAAATTATTGATAAGATATTTATTATTGTATTATATATTATACATTATTAACAAATATTCTTTTTCGTTTTATGACAAAATAACAATACTTACTTTAATCATAATAATCTTATAATACAATAAAATTAATGATAATAATTTCATCTTTTAAATATTAGTGATATTAATATAATTTTTTTAAATTAATTTTTTTATTAAAGAGTAAGAATATAATTATATTTATATTAATAATGATAAATATTATATAACAATTAATGTATATTTAATATGTTATATTTTTATATGACAAATTTTTGCTGTATAAATGTGTTTTAAGTAAAAATTATTGACAAAATATATATTATTATATTATATATCATACATTATTAATAAGTAATCTGTTTTTTCTAATAATAATCTTTTTTATTTTATGACAAAATAACAACGCTTACTTTAATAATCATAATAATCTTAGTTTTATTTATATTATTCTAAAATAATATGATCAAAATGTATTTTATTTGAATAGTAAAAAATAATTAATACATTTATATTATTAAATTAATTTCTTTAATAAAGAGTGAGAAAATAATTATATTTATATTAATAATGATAAATGGTATATAATTTTTATATAACAAATATATGCAAATTAAATTATTAAATAGTTTAAATTTATTTTATAATTTTTTAATAATAAAAAATTTAAAATTTAATATTATAAATTATTCCGTACATTGCACGGGGTCCACACTAGTGTGTGTGTGTATATATATATATATATATATATATATATACAACGGTTACTCTGTGAGGAGTACAAAATATAAGTTTTTGAATAATATCAGCTATGTCTACCAAGACACATACATGTACAACGACAAATCAACATTCATATCAACACTCATTCATTCATTTCGGCATATAGGATTCACACTATATGTTAAATACTCTACCATTCCTATTAAATATTTTAGCCTACATGCCTCAACATAACCGTTCTACTTTCACAGTTAATCACATAGCTACTTGGTATCCTACCTTAGGGTTTGTCCCTACCTCAACTCAATCTTAGCTAAAATGAATTTATACACATAAAGGTATAAACATTGAGTGAACAAAAAGGCCAGCTTAAGTAAGTTCTCCTTACCTGAATCTAGATTTCTTTAGATCAAAACTTTATTGAGTTTCCAAGAGAGAATAACGTTCAAGGTCTTCAGATCTTTCTATTACCAAGAAATAAAGACTCTTGAGAAAAGAAATCAAGAAAAGAGAAATGAAACAAGGAAACCAAACCCTAAAACACACCTAGATTCGCACTAGATAGAGGTTCTCACTTAGATCTGGGAGAAGCTTGGCCTTGAGAGGATTTTCTTTGAGTGAAGAGGGTGAGAGAACGAAGGGGAAGTGAGAGAAAATAGTAGTTTGGTGACAAATAAAGGTTTTTAGCTCAAAACCCTTAAATAACCCTCAGTTTGCGATACTCTCGTTACAGCGAGCATCTCTCGCTATAGCGAGATATACTAGACAGTAAAAGCCTTTTGTCTGACATTTTCGCTGAAGCAAGAACCTCCTCGCTACAGTGAGAGAGCTTTAGAATGCCTTGTTTTGGATGATCCATTCTCGTTACAGTGAGAGATTATTTCAACCAAAGAGAAAATCGTAGATCTTGCTTAGATACACTAAAATCACACCAGGTAACACATATTAAAGATAAAAAAAAATTCATTATATATGTTTAAAAATATCTTTTACAAAAAATCACAATCATAATAATGTTCCATTTAAGTATCATCAAACAATTTGTCAGAGGTCAAACGCTTCTAGACTCAACTCTAATCATATGGTTAAAACATACTAAGATTAAATCACATATTATAATTACATTACTATAGGTCACACTTTCTTGATATTAATAAAATTTTCTATCCTAAAGTTTAGCATTTCCTATTTTCATTCTCCAAAACATACGTTGTGCAAAAATAATAATTCACATATATGATAATCAATAACATAAATCATGAAAACATTCTTAAAACATTGGTTTGTTCATAGCATTTTCTATAAAATTATGTTTTAGGTGAATCTTAAACCCAACCATAGGTTTTATACCTAAAGGATCCATTTTTGTCATTATAATTTCAAGAAAATGTTCATATCTACTATTTCAAATGGGGTATTTTAAGTTTTCCAAACTAAAACATATAAATAAGACTTAGAGTTTGGTATCAACTCCCTTACCTAGAAAAAGGTTTCTCAAAACCAAAGAGACGAGGGACAATGTCTCTAAGGCCAAGTTCTCTGCAAGATCCAAAAGAAAGTGCAGCGTTTTGATTAAAAGATATAGTTCAAGAGGAAATGGAGCACTTTTGAGAAGATTGAACTCTAAGAAACTTACTTATGAGAGAAGATGGTGCACTTTTGAGATAAGAGAAAATGGATAAATAGAAGTAAATTGAAAAGATTGAAATCTAAGGAATTTACTTGAGATCAAGAGGAAGAGACATTTAAGTTCAAATTTGAAAGAGACTTGGAGTTCAAAGAAGTTTTCCTTTGAGAAAGGGAAGAGAGAGAATAGAGGGAAAAGTAAGGAAAGATTGTTTGACTTGTAGTGCAAGTTTAGAACATGGAAGTTCCTTAAATACCCTTTTTGGCTCATGCCTTCTCGCTTGAGCAAGCAAATTCTCGTTTGAGCAAGATGC